TTCACACTTCACACTTCACAGTCCACACTTCACACTTCTCACTTCTCACTGCTTCCTTCACACTCCAAACTTCACACTCAACCTTCACACTTCGCACTTCACACTCCACACTTCACACTTCCCGCTTCACAGTCCACACTTCACACTTCTCACTTCTCACTGCTTCCTTCACACTCCAAACTTCACACTTCACACTTCACACTTCACACTTCACAGTCCACACTTCACACTTCTCACTGCTTCCTTCACACTCCAAACTTCACACTTCTCACTTCGCACTTCACACTCCACACTTCACAGTCCACACTTCACACTTCTCACTTCTCACTGCTGCCTTCAAACTCCAAACCTCACACTTCACACTTCACACTCACTCTTCGCACTCCAAACTTAAACTTCACACTCCACACTTCACACTTCTCACTTCCCACTGCTTCCTTCACACTGTACACTTCACACTGCACTCTTCACACTCCACACTTCACACTGCACTCTTTGCACTCCAAACTTCACACTCCACACTTCACAGTCCACATTTCACACTTCTCACTTCTCACTGCTTCCTTCACACTCCAAACTTCACACTTCACACTGCACTCTTCACGCTCCACACTTCACACTGCACTCTTCACACTCCACATTTCACCTCATCTGAGCTCTTCTCACCTTATCCCAGCTCATCTCTTCTCATCTAGTCCCTTCTCATATGTCATCTATTAAGCTTTCATTATAATTCCCAGCACTACTACTAATCACTGTCGCACCCTTGATGCACCCACTCCAATGCGATTTACGAAGTCCAGCTGCAACAGACAATAGTATTGCGCATGCAGCCGTGGCAAGAAGCAACCTTGACGCAGCCATTACTATGCGATCTGCAGAGACTGAGTTGCGAAACACAATAGAAATACGCGCAACTGGGTCGGAAATTGCAGCTCCAAAACCGGATCTCGACGCCAAAGCGAAAAAAAAGACGATTTTGAAGCACTTTTTAAAAGGATTTTTAAAAAGAAAATCACTGGCGCCAAAATGGAGAAAATCTGCTGACAAATCACTGTCGCAGCCTTCATGCAGCCACTCCAATACGATTTACGAAGTCCAGCTGCAAAAGACAATATAGTATTACCAATGCAGCCACAGCACGAAGCAACCTTGACGCAGCCATTACAATGCGATCTGCAGAGACTGAGTTGCAAAACACAATAGAACTACGCGCAACGGCGTCGGAAATTGTAGCTCCAAAACCGGATCTCGACGCCAGAGCGAAAAAAAGACGATTTTGAAGCACTTTTTAAAAGAATTTTTAGAAGGAAAATCACTAGCGCCAAAATGGAGAAAATCTGCTGACAAATCACTGTCGCAGCCTTCATGCAGCCACTCCAATACGATTTACGAGATCCAGCTGGAAAAGACAATGGTATTACGCATGCAGCCGCGGCACCAAGCAACCTTGACGCAGCCATTACAATGCGATCTGCAAAGACTGAGTTGCAAAACACAATAGAACTACGCGCAACTGGGTCGGAAATTGCAGCTTCAAAACCGGATCTCGACGCCAAAGCGAAAAAAAGACGATTTTGAAGCATTTTTTAAGAGAATTTTTAAAATGAAAATTATTAGCGCCAAAATGGAGAAAATCTGCTGACAAATCACTGTCGAACCCTTGATGCACCCACTCCAATACGATTTACGAAGTCCAGCTGCAAAAGACAATAGTATTGCGCATGCAGCCGTGGCAAGAAGCAACCTTGACGCAGCCATTACTATGCGATCTGCAGAGACTGAGTTGCGAAGCACAATAGAAATACGCGCAACTGGGTCGGAAATTGCAGCTCCAAAACCGGATCTCGACGCCAGAGCGAAAAAAAGACGATTTTGAAGCACTTTTTAAAAGGATTTTTAGAAAGAAAATCACTGGCGCCAAAATGGAGAAAATCTGCTGACAAATCACTGTCGCAGCCTTCATGCAGCCACTCCAATACGATTTACGAGATCCAGCTGGAAAAGACAATGGTATTACGCATGCAGCCACAGCACGAAGCAACCTTGACGCAGCCATTAATTACAAGGCGATCTGCAGAGACTGAGTTGCAAAACAGAATAGAACTACGCGCAAACACAATTGAAACCGCATTTACAATGCGGAACCGATCCAAGACCGATCCGAGAATGATCCGAGAATGATCCGAGAATGATCCGACCACACACGAGACCGTCTCGCGCCCGTCGCACCTAGTAGATCATCGAGGTTCGGGGACGGACTTTGTATGGAAAAACATAGGGTTTCGTGCATCTGCTATCTCTCAAAAACGCATTTCGTGCGAGACTTCCTTCAAAACTCCATCGGCAACTCATCCACCAGCACCATTTGCAATCCCATTTACATTGCGGGAACGATCCTACAGTTGCAAATCACAATGGAATTCTGTCGACCGCGCATGCACGAAAAACACTTGAAACCCCATTTACACAATCTGACCGATCCAGGACCGAGACCGATCCAAAATATCCCAGTAATGAAAATCCCCACACACGAGACCGTCTCGCACCCGTCGCACCGCAGAGGTAGATCATCGACGTTCGGGGACGCACTTTGTCTAGAAAAACACATGGTTTCGTGCATCTTCTATCTCTCAAAAACACATTTCGTGCGAGACTTCCTTCAAAACTCCATCGGCAACTCCTCCACCAGCACCACATGCAATCCCATTTACAGTGAGGGAACGATCCTAGAGTTGCAAATCACAATGGAATTCCATCGGCAACTCATCCACCAGCACCACTTGCAATCCCATTTACATTGCGGGAACGATCCTACAGTTGCAAATCACAATGAAATTCTGTCGACCGCACATGGACGAAACACAGGTGAAACCCCATTTACAATGCGGAACCGATCCGACCATGATCCGAGACCGATCCGAGCATGATCCGACCACACACGAGACCGTCTCGCACCCGTCGCACCGCAGAGGTAGATCATCGACGTTCGGGGACGCACTTTGTCTAGAAAAACACATGGTTTCGTGCATCTTCTATCTCTCAAAAACACATTTCGTGCGAGACTTCCTCCAAAAACTCCATCCAAGCTCCTCCACCAGCACCACTTGTCATCCGCATTTACGAGTGGAGTGAAACGTCCTCCGTTGCAAATCCTTCAAGGAATTCCTGTCGACCGCAACAGTGGGCGAAGACACCAGTTGAAACCGACCTGCCATTTAACAATGACGGAACGCAACCGATCCGAGACCTATCCGAGAATGATCCAGAAGGGACCGATCGCCCAAAACCCACACACTAGACCTTCTCGCAACCCAACCGTCGCACCGCGATTAGATCATGAGTTTCGGGGACGACTTTGTATGGAAAAACATAGGGTTTCGTGCTCTAGCTTCTCTCGGAAAACGCATTTCGTGCGAGACTTCCTCCAAAACTCCATCGGCAACTCCTCCACCAGCACCACTTGCAATCCCATTTACAGTGAGGGAACGATCCTACAGTTGCAAATCACAATGGAATTCTGTCGACCGCACATGGACGAAACACAGTTGAAACCCCATTTACAATGCGGAACCGATCCGAGACCGATCCGAGAATGATCCGAGACCAATCCGACCACACACGAGACCGTCTCGCAACCGTCGCACCGCAGAGGTAGATCATCGAGGTTCGGGGACGGACTTTGAATGGAAAAACATAGGGTTTCATGCATCTGCTATCTCTCAAAAACGCATTTCGTGCGAGACTTCCTCCAAAACTGCATCGGCAACTCCTCCACCAGCACCACTTGCAATCCCATTTGCAGTGAGGGAACGATCCTACAGTTGCAAATCACAATGGAATTCTGTCGACCGCACATGGACGAAACACAGTTGAAACCCCATTTGCAATGCGGAACCGATCCGAGACCGATCCGAGAATGATCCGAGACCGATCCAACCACACACGAGACCGTCTCGCAACCGTCGCACCGCAGAGGTAGATCATCGAGGTTCGGGGACGGACTTTGAACGGAAAAACATAGGGTTTCATGCATCTGCTATCTCTCAAAAACGCATTTCGTGCGAGACTTCCTCCAAAACTGCATCGGCAACTCCTCCACCAGCACCACTTGCAATCCCATTTACAGTGAGGGAACAATTTCTTTGCTAACTCTTTCTGTGACTAACTCTTTTCCTCACTAACTCTTTCTTTGACTAACTTGTTTCTTTGCTAAACTCTTTCTTTGACTACCTCATATATCCTGACTAACTCTTTCTTTGACTAACTCTTTCCCTCACTAACTCTTTCTTTGACTGACTCTTTCCCTCACTAACTCTTTCTTTGACTAACTCTTTCCCTCACTAACTCTTTCTTCGACTAACTCTTTCCCTGGCTAACTGTTTCTTTGACTACTCTTTCTTTGACTAACTCTTTCCCTGACGAACTCTTTCTTTGCTAACTCTTCCTGTGACTAACTCTTTCCCTCACTAACTCTTTCTTTGACTAACTCTTTCCCTGACTAAACTGTTTTCTCACCTGTTTCACTTTTGCTAACTCTTTCTTTGACTAACTCTTTCCCTGACTAACTCTTGCTTTGACTAACTCTTTCCCTGACTAACTGTTTCTTTGACTAACTCTTTCCCTGACTTTCCCTCACTAACTCTTTCTTTGACTAACTCTTTCCCTGACTAACTCTTTCTTTGACTAACTCTTTCCCTCACTAACTCTTTCTTTGACTAACTCTTTCCCTGACTAACTGTTTCTTTGCTAACTCTTTCTTTGACTAACTCTTTCCCTGACATTCTAAAAGTCCGTAACACGGAAGTTTCTCCCCCTAAACTTCCTTTGATTATATGACCAGATGGTAAAAACAGTTTTTGACTTTGCTTGAACTTGGCTACTTGAAGATGCTTGATTCCCAAGAAATCCGCGCGTTACAGTCAGTGTTGTTGTCACAAAACTGCCACACGACTTGCTGTTGCTCTCTACAACGTCCAAGGTTGTGCTCCATCCCAACCAGAACATGACATCCAAAGTGATCTCTTTCCAGGAGGACTGTTTGGTTCAAAAAAATGGGGGGTGGGATCCAACCCCCCAAAGGTGGCGCAGGGCTCACCTTGGAGGCCTTGAGGCCTTGAGTCCCCAATTCAATGGGATTAGGTCTATTTTCCCCAGTGGGATGCTGATGATTGATGGTCCATGATGATCCCCAAAAAAAGTGCGTTTTTTTCCCCAAAAATTGGCTGAAGAGGAGACGCTGGCAGAAATTCTTTCTGTTGCACCACTCCTTCTGAAAGCTGGGTGCATTGAAGCTCTTGAAAATCTGTTGCCCAGGGCAGAGAGCTTTGTCATTCTCCTCCTGAACAACGATGCATCCGCCCGAAAGAAACTACTCAGGTTGCTCAGCATTCGGACGAGGATGCCTTTACTTCCTGATTCACTTGAAGCATCTGACTCAGCAAGACAGGAGCTTCATGAGCTCCTTCAGGTCGCAGATGATCAGATAGAAGCATTGCTGTCTGGAATTCAGGAGTCAGAGCTTCGAGGCCTTCTTGCTGAAATTGAATGGAGTATGCTGGAACGTCTCCAGAAAAGCTTGAAGGCATCTTGCAATCCTTGCAAAGATTGGATCGATCAAGAAGTGGGCTACAAACGCGCCCTGTTGTTTTACAATTATTTTCGCCTTGACCTGAAACGGTTTGATGAGTATTGGCAGTTGCTGATTGAGAATTACCAACATGCTGGTGAGTCACTGCTCGTCCGGGACACAGGGGCACGTAACAGAGGGGCGAAGGCTGCAGCACTGGTCTTGGCCACATTTTCAGACAGGGTAGCAACCCCCCTGAAAGACATTGATTACCAGGTGCTTGAACATGCTCACAGACTCCTCAATAATCGTGCGGAAGCAATTGATCTTGCAAAGCGCTTCTTTAAGTACAAGATCAGGATTGCTGACCAAGTGGCTTGGCCTCCAGCGTCATCCGGACGTATATTCCTGGAATTGGCAGCTCGTCAGGGGGACGAGAAGGAACAGTTTCTTTTGCTGGTGAGGGCATATAATGTGTGTGCGTCTGATACGCTCATCCGTAGAGCTTTGCTAGAACAACTTCATTGCAAGATCTTGGAAGTGGATTCCTTCGGTGGCGGAACCGTTCGCACCACTGCAAATTCCGCGTGCAGCACTGATTCTTCCAGCCTGGAGGAGTTGTTTCTGAAGGTGAGTTTAGAGGAGGAAAGGCAGATTCCAGCGGATTTGATTAACAAGCTGACTCTGAAGGACACATATCTCCAGCGCCTCAATGGAGATTTATTGCCATGGGCACAGCAACTGGGCCATGCAGGTCGACCTGTTGATGGCGCGCGCCTGGCGGTGCTGGTGGGGCAACGTTTGGCCCGGAAGGGCGACAAGGAAAGGGCAGTGGAGGCGTTCTTTTTGGCGTTTCGGTTGGATTCTGGAAATTCTGATGCGGCCAGTGGCCTTTTGGATTTTGCAGAGTTGGTAATTGCAGCCAACCAAGCGGCAAGCCACAAGGTTGTGACTAGAGGAAGGAAGCCAGTGCCAAAGCACTTTGCTGTTGGACTGGGACTTGACAGAAAAAATCTTTACAAGCAGCGAAGGTGTGGACAGCCCAAAGTTCCGAATCTCCCTGCAGGTCCTAGCTTGGATTAGCATTTTCCCACTGGAACCATACCCAAAATGCATCCTGAACCTGAACCGGGCTACAGATGTGAAGCTGAGAGTGGAGGTGGGGAATTCAAAACAGATAGTTGAGAGTGGCAATGGGATGAAATTCCAAAGCTTCTACCTTTGTAGCCAATCAGACCTTGATGGCCACATGACTGTGCACTCAGTATGATGTCTATATCAACATGCCCCGGAAGCGTCCTCGGAGGGGCGCGGTCCAGGGTCGACAAGTCTTAATGCCAATGCGCTCGATGAAACCTGCACCAATCAAGGAGGAAAAGGTCACCCGGTGTGGGTCACCCGTTTTTGTTGAAGAAATCTCCTTGATTTGTGGAAAGACCGGATATTTTGTGGTTGTTTTTCCAGTTGTTCTTCGGAAAATCTATGGCCCCCGCATATTTAACCGGCATATACTGGCAAGAACTATGATTTTCCGGTAGATTCCCCACGAATCGATCGATTTAAAGTTCAATCTTGGTACCTCACAACACTTAAAACACAAAAATAAAAACCTTGATTAAAAACATATGTTATATATGTTCCTGGAGATCATCTGGAGATTTCTAATAAAAACGGATTGATTTAAGGATGGCTAGACTCAGCAACAAAATCATCAATCAATCCATGGAGACTCCCAATGGCATCCCCAAGGATGCGAAGATCGACCTGCACGGGCTTCCCGTTGAGGTGGCGAAGGTCGCAGTCCAGGCGCAGATCCACGAACTGTTGGGGACCTAGATGATTGATAGGTACACAAGGTGTAGGGCATATACACGTAGTACACACATATATATATATATACACGTATATATAATATATTATACTATATGTATTATTGCACTTTATTGCATTATACAGTAATATATATATAGATAGTATAACATCAACTGATATATTATATTATATTGAAATTATTTACTTATGGTATATTACATTATATTATTGATATGTGATATTCATGTATATATAATGCCTAGACCCTCCAAGTACCCGTGAAATTTATCTTGTACCACAGTTTTAATACGTTTACCAATTTTTGGGTGGTGGTTGGAGGATCTCGGTGATGGTATAGATACTTTAGATTATGTTTACTCATGTATATCATTTCCGGTTCTATATGCAGACAATAGTTTATTTAAGTTTGAATGACATTTGAACTGTATGTGCACGTGAATCTTGACTTGGGATTCAATTGAGACTATGGCTGTTTGGGCACAAGGGTGTTGACCTGCACGTGTGTTTCATCAATGAAAAGCTTGCAGCAATTGAAGAATTTGAAGACCAACAGGAAACCATTGTTTTGTCCACAAGTCAGAGAGGATTGCCGTAAATTTGATGGAACCATGTTTGGGAACCAAACATTGGAGCACAACATGAACCATGCCATGCTTGATTGATCACGAGGGATGGTCGGTTCATTCCACTGATTTCCACTGGGATAGGTGGTCCCTCTAGTGCCATGACTTTCATGGACCCCACATGGAGGTTAGTGAAAAAAAATCCACGTCATTTCTTGCTGATGGAAAAACCCATGGTTGTGGATACCCATATTTTTTGTTCAGAAACAACTCCTCTATTAGGTAAACCATTTGCAATTAGCTATGAAATTATCTATGAAATATCCAATGCTATCTATATAATATTATAGGTTATCTATTAAGATGTCATAGCAATTTAGATATCCATGAAAGATATTGAAATATTATGAACATCCCCCTTGGAATATCCTCTAGGAAATGGTGACCCTGGGCGGCGCCATTTCCTTGAGAGCTGAATTTTATGGATTGCCCATCTTTGACCAAATGCATTCTTTAGAGGCGGGGTTATCATCTGGGATCACCTCTAAATTTACAATGTCCCATTCTTTAGACACCAGTTGTGTGTTTCAAAAAAAACAAAGTTCCATTTTTTAGAGCTCACTGGTTCAATGACATCAAGGGGTATGCCCTGGGGACCTCCATTTTTTAGAGCTCACTGGTTCAATGACAAGGGGTATGCGCTGGGGCCCTCCATTTTATAGAAAAAACGTGCGGAAACACTGACATATTATAAACATATAATATCATATGTAATATCAAATAATAATTTATATAAAATATGTACAAAATGAACATCTAATTATGTTGTACTTGTTATGTTTTTTTTGTCATTATTTCAGATTTTCCCAAACTCTTCTGTGCCACTGGCTCAAAGATGTTCAAAGGTGTTGAAAGGTGCTTTAGATTCTAAGAAATTCTAAGAACATATATTTCACGAGGCAAAGATTGTCTCAAACCTAGGCAGGGGATAAAAGGGCCCATACAAATCACATCAAATCACTATATACTATAGAATGGAACCCATAGGCACTGGTTGGTGTTGTTGAACGGACCATAACGGACCCAAAAACATCCAAAAACTCTAAAGAATGGAACTTTGAACGTTTTCAAGGTCGATCAAGAATATCCAGACAACTACTAAAGAATGGTATCCCCAGATACTGCAAAACAAACAAAATGTTCACATAATTTTACAACAACTCTGTCCACCATTTCCTAGAGGAAAAAAGGGGGAAAAAATGAAATGAAGCACTTTTCAAGCCAATCACCTGGTCCTCCATTTTATAGACATGCCTCTGTTTGTAGGACCCCTTGGGGTTCCATTCTATAGAGATTGGGGTTCCATTCTATTGAGATTTGTTATGATATGTTAGTCTGGCCCATCCATTCTTTAGAGCTTGGGGTTCCATTCTTTAGATGTTCCACTTCTAGCCCCCGGTCCACTATAGAATGGCGCCACCCACCCTTTTTACTGTGCCAGGTAGCTCTGGAGGATCTGGTGCTGGGTGCTCCTGGCTCTCCAGCGGCGGTGGATGTGGGCGATTTGATCATCGTCACCGGGGTGGGGAACAACAGCCCAGGCGCGTTGATGGGTGGGGTGTATGATATTATACATACTGTTACATACATACATACATGACATACATGACATACATGACATACATGACATACATGAGATACATTACATACATGACATACATGACATGCATGACATACATGGCATACATGACATACATGACATACATGACATACATGACATGCATGACATACATGACATACATGACATACATGACATACATGACATACATGACATACATGACATACATGACATACATGACATACATGACATGCATGACATGCATGACATGCATGACATGCATGACGTGCATGACATGCATGACATGCATGACATGCATTACATGCATTACATGCATTACATTAACCTGCAGACAGAGACATAGCATAAACATGCAAATTCCATGCAAGAATTACATCATGAGGCACAAAAAAAGAAAACAAACAAAAACAATGCAATGACATACATGACAT